CAAACTATCTTATTTTTGGCATTTTTTTGAACAAGTTATATTAATATGAATAATTTGAGATTAATTATTTGGGTAACAATAACTCATCTCATAATAACTTGTTCAAACAATTAATCATATTTCAGATGAAACATACGGATAGTTTTTTATTTCATGGTAAGTAACTCACTAAACGGAATAGTGAGTGACATCGTAATTAAAAATATAAAAATTAAATTAAAATGTAATAAATATTTTATTGACTAGATAATAGAATATGAATAAGACTACTTAAATCAAACATTTATCATCTCTTCGTTTTCAATATTTTAGAAATGAAATTTATTTAGTATACAAAAATACCTAATTGCGGGTCAGGTCTATAAAATAAAACATTGTACATAGAGCGGGCGAACCGACTCTTTGTAAATTATCACCGACTCTCCTTAAACGAACGCGCCTATGCTAACATTCTTACTAAAATAAGAAATGATATATTATGTTGATTTTTGTTGTTATTTTGACCATTTCCTTTCTCTAAATAGAAGAGAATAGACTATTGCGCAGTGTCATTTAAAATTAATAACTTCGAGTTTATGTTAAATAATTCGGGAACTTTATTCAGACAATTGAGTTAGAAGCTTATCAAAAGACTCCAAGCGTTTCTTATAGAAAAGAAGAAAAATAAAATAAAAGACTCCAAGGGTTATTTAAAAAATGTGAACAAGGTTTGCTCTGGCGTTACTTTTACTAGTATTCAACTTGTAGGTTTTAAGTTATCAAACTTTAGTTGATTCAATGGGAATATAGATGGCAATGGGGTGGATTTGTCTAAATCATCCCATTTTCAAATATCGAAACCAATACCCGTCTTATTCTCGTGCATGAAAAGGTTTTGCAAACCCATACACATATATGTGGGTTTTGCGTACCCATGGGTAGTACCCGCCTCGTACATCCAACATTACAATACCTAAAATTTTAGGTATAAATTTAGAATTATAACACTAAGCGCACCTACTATACCATGAAGTCAACAAAAAGATAATCATTCTTAATACGGTTCAAAGTATTTTATCCTAAAACATCCATGGGGTACAATGTAATTCAAATCAGTATTATCTGACTCTGATACATCTGCTAAGTAATAAGTAGCTTATATAATATTGTTAACACGTGGAAAAAAGTGATAGAGTGAATGGAGAGTTGAGAAGAAGGAATTAGATTTTGATTTGGGTGACCATTCAATTGCATTTCTACTATTTATTTTCTTCAGTTATCTTCACTATCATTGATAGGTTACAATTCGATATATGTATTTTTATGTGTAAAGAAATGCTCTTGATGGGGCGGGTATTGGTATGGATATGAGGCGGAGGAGACTAAAACCATACCCGCCCCATACCCATCAAGCGTTTTGCGGGTTTTACCCATACTCGCCTCATATACCTAGTCAATGTGGGATCCCCCGCGTTGACTAGGTCGAGGGCGGTCGGGTATCTGCGGTTATGGGTTTGATTGTCATCCCTAAACGGAAGAGAAGGTGATTTGTCTCAAATGTATTTGGGTTGGATTTTTTTTAGAAGCAGGACTTGTTAGTATTTTCATTACAACTTTGTAATTTTCTGATAAAAAAACTTGAAGGTCTAAAGCATGAATCTTTTAAGTAACACCGAACAATAACTACAAACTAATGTCACCATTATAAAAAAAAGGAGTGTCTGAAATTATAAATTTTGCTTTCATAATTAACTTTATTTGGATAGAAAATAAGAAATCGAAACTCAGTACATGTAAGGACATAATAGTAACATCATACACGTGACTAATTTTTTTTACCAAACACCAATGTTTACATTGTCAAATATCTATATTTGTTCAGGTGTTTATATTTGGTCAAATGGATTATTTTGTAAATATACCATACAAACGACCCCTATATAGAGGATGCCCAATGAACATACAAGATTTCTGGCTCAACCACTGATATGGAGGATGCTCAATGAACATTACACATTTGATCGTTGGAGGATGCTTTATGATGAAAGCATGTTCAGTGGTGACGAAATACGTACTCACTTGGGACTATACGTTTTGTGGCATATAGATGTGGCAAGTTGAATATAATCCATCAATCAATACAAATCCATTTAACCTAAATTCGAGTGAATTAGTGCATTTATGAATTGATGGAAAACTACATTTTCATACCTATATTTATTGTTTTTACAATTTGATACATAAATTTGTTATTTTAAATTAAAATTATCATTGAAAATATATTTTTTGATTCCTACAATTTTAGGCTTGACGTTTTAGTACCTATGAAAATTTTTCATAATGGTACAAGGTTTGATAGACTAAAATATATTATGATCGTTAACTCCAAATTTTGAACATGGTTCATCCTAACGAAAATATCATTTTTCATTGATTGTTAACTCCAAATTTTGAATATGAGTAGATGTTTTCTTCACCACATTACCACTAGAACAATATCTTGGTGTCAATTTGAATTCTTCAATCTTATTCGTAACTTTACCACCCATGTATAACTATATTTCGCCATCGTCCATATATACCAATATGAACAAAAAGGTTGCTCAACCTTGTATTTGATTCACATCTTCGAGGAGTATTTTTTAGAATTTGTTGTCCTTCGTGAACTAGTTCAAACTCGTTTGCTAACCTAATGAATGCAACTCAATGATTTTTAATTTTCGCAACCATATCTTGCAATTTTCTAAATTATATTATGATTAGTTGGTTCTATTAAGGTTGCATGTACTTGAAGCTAAGTAAGCCTTTGACTCTGTGTACAACAATGGATGTCTACCAATTCTAATGTAGCTTCAGGCCTTCAGCATTAATTTAGCACCGCCAATGCTTTCGTTAATTGCCACTATAGCGGTTTATAATGAATCTGAATCTATTGTCAATCAAAGTTGGTCGAGTCAGTAGGGGATACACATTTTTTTCACTACAACAATATGTATCCATTGATTGTGCCAATTTATATTATATACTAGTGTTCAATTAGGGCAGAGGTTAGCTTGTTAGTAACCAATTTGTTAGTATGGTGTTAACATTAGCTCCGATCAATATAAACGTTTTGTTTTGATAATTTTATAATTTTAATGGGTAGACCATAGTTAATGTTGATTTGTGACGGGTGATATGGGGGGCACACGCGTATGGTGATGCTATTGTGTTGTGCATCCCGCTTCTCATCTCAAGAATCATGAAGTAAACCACAAAACACATACTAGAAATATGACTAATCACACTAGAAATAACATAAAGTATATTAGAAAGCTTATAAAGCATACCATAAACTCACTACACCATAAAACTTATAATTCATACCAGAAAACACAAAAACCACAAGTTTGTCAAAGTGTTCCAGAGACCTCATAAAACATACCACAAGTTTCCTGAAATATACCAGAAATCTCATAAAGCATAACACAAGTTCCCATAAGCATACTAGAAACCTCATAAAAAGACAACAAGTTCCCTAAAGCAGACGAGGAACCTCATAAAAATAGCCACAAGTTTCCTCAAGTAGACAAAAAACCTAACAAAGTAGCCAACAAGTTCTTTGAAACATACAAGAAACTTATAAGGCATGCAACAAGTTCACTGAAGCCGGCCACAAGTTCTATCAAGCAAAAATGAAGGATCATAGTCATAAAGCAGATCATAAGTTCCATGAAGCAGAGGCCATAAAATATGTGCAACCACACAAGAACTCTCATGAAATCGATCAGAAAGATGAGAAAATCGCCTACTCGCCTGAAAGAGAGGAAGGTAGTAGTAGGGTTCTGGGTTTGGCAAAGGCAAAGAGGATAATTGTCTTATTAGAGAATGTATAAAAGGAAAGTGATTGGTAGAAGAAATCCTAGTCGCACACTTCCTTTTACTCTTTACTCTCGTCTTCCCGTCTGTCTCTTTTTCCTCTCTCTATATAAAAAAAAATGAATCCACTCCATCGGTGAACCAACGAATATAAGAAAACACACCTCTTATTATTCTTCAATTTCGAACAGTCAAACACTAGCTGCCGCCATCTCTTTCTCTACTCTCTTCTCCGCCCAAGTAAAATAGTGAAGGAGGGTTGACACCGACGACAACTTCGTGGCCGGCCACAGTCGCTTCTCTCCCTCGGTCATCCTCCCGTCGATCTCATGAGAAAGCTATTAGAGAGGGTCCATAGCTTGACGACCATCGATTTGTGTTTCGTGGCACAACCTCGTTGACCGACCTCCTTTCTTTATTTGAGCTTAGAAGATGAGGAGTTTCGTATTAGTGGATAACGAGTGGTCGGGGGAAAATCATTTCATTTGTTGAGTGTTACATTGCACCTATTTTGAAGTGACTGATCAGAACCCTTATTTGTTATTCATCGATTAACCGCTAACCGTAGATTATTAACCTTTTATGTCGGGGTAACCCGATAAGGAATTTCAAACTTTCCCCAAACCACCCTCGTTCTTCTTAAAGATTAACGGTTCAACCGTTAACAAATGATTAAAGATATGATTAACAGTTAAATAGTTACAACACAGTTGTTTTAGCACGGTGCTAAGTGCTACCAACCATAATGTTAACACTCTATCCGGTCCTTCAAATTAGTATCACAATCTCAACAATTTCGATATGATTTCACAATGCATGATTATCATATGACCAATATATGCAAAACGCAATATATTTATTGCGAAATGAGTAAATGAAGAAAAGTAGTAAACGAATTCAAGAAGCTCGTCAGCACATTTATAAATACGAGCTAGCGCCCATTTGCCTATCTACACTATCTACACTCTAACCCACAGAGGGATAACACAACAGCAGCAAAGCTGAAAATAACCTTGAGAAGCAGAAACCAAAACCAAAAAACCCAAAAACAAAAAGCCCCTATTTAATTTCCCTTTTGCTTTCACGCCTCCATTAACACACCTCTCTGCTTTTCATGCATTTATAATCCCGCTCTCTGATTCTCCATCTCCTCCATCCCATCCCACTCTTCCCCCTCCCACCCCTTCTCCCCGCTCTATAAATCACTCCCTGCTCTCCCACAGAAGAGTCAAACTCCAATACCATCCATAATCTCCAAGTAGAGAAGAAAAACAGAGTGCGAGTGAGTACTCAGAGAAAAACAGAGTCCCCCCCAGAAAACAGAGCATACCTCCTTTCTTTCTTTCTTTCCACATGGATTCGTCGAGGAAAGAGCAGCAACAAGACCAGAACCAGAAGGAGAGCAAGAAGAAGAGAACTGGGGTGTGGGTTAATGGGCCGATAATCGTGGGAGCAGGCCCATCTGGGCTAGCAGCCGCCGCTTGCCTGTCGCAACACGGAGTCCCTTCCTTAATCCTCGAGAAATCCGACTGCATCGCCTCCCTGTGGCAGTACAAAACCTACGACCGCCTCAAGCTCCACCTCCCCAAGCAATTCTGCCAGCTCCCCTTTCTGGGTTTCCCTGAAAACTTCCCCAAATACCCAACCAAGCACCAGTTCGTCTCCTACCTCGAGTCCTACGCCGCCCACTTCAACATCCGCCCAAACTTCAACCAATCCGTCTCCTCCGCCGAATTCGACCCCGCGAAGTCCCTCTGGAGAGTCCACACCGACGAATTCGTCTACATTTCCCGGTGGCTAATCGTCGCCACCGGCGAAAATGCAGAGCCTTTCGTCCCTGAAATCCGCGGGCTGGGCAAGTTCAAAGGGAAGGTTGTCCACACCAGCGATTACAAGTCGGCCAAGGAGTTCGGCGGCCAGAAGGTTCTGGTCGTCGGCTGTGGGAATTCCGGCATGGAAGTTAGCCTCGACCTCTGCCGGAACAATGCCGTGCCTTATATGGTGGTTCGCAACACGGTGAGTTAGTTCAACTGCTGCTGGTCGTCGCTTCTTTTGGTGACGAAATTTTTTTTCTCCTTATACTGAGTTTAAAATTTGTTCTTTTTTTGTTGTTGTTGTTGTTGTAGGTGCACGTTTTGCCGAGGGAGATGTTTGGGATGTCGACGTTTGGGGTGGCGATGGCGCTACTGAAATGGCTGCCGTTGAAAATGGTTGACCGGGTTTTGCTTCTGACGGCGTCTTTCATTTTGGGGAGCACCGATGAGTTGGGCCTCCGGCGGCCCAAGACGGGCCCGCTCGAGCTCAAGAATGTTACTGGGAAAACCCCTGTGCTCGACGTGGGGGCCCTCTCCCAAATTAGATCCGGCAAGATTAAGGTAATAATAATAATTAACAAAAGCCCATTAGTCAGAAAATTACAATTTTTAATGTCTAAATCAATAAATTTATTATTGTTATTGTTTTTCAGGTAATGGAAGGGGTGAAAGAAATAACTAAATGTGGAGCAAAGTTCAATAATGGACAAGAGAAGGAATTTGATTCAATAATTTTGGCTACTGGTTACAAGAGCAACGTTCCCTCTTGGCTCAAGGTAATTAGCTTAATTGCGATTACCTAATTTTATTTCTAGGTATGAACATAGATTTGATGGATGTTATCAACGAAATTACTTATTTGTCCATCATTTTCAAATTCATTTTTTTGGGGTGGAGCTTGGTATTTAGTTCTAACCTATTAGGAATCATCCATCGTTTTCAAAGTTGGGCCCATGCACAGGCCAACCCACAAACCTACAAAACTCTTCTTTTCTCCATGGGAAAATAATAATTAATTTTTTCAATTTTCTTCAATCGGAAGGTAACACCTAATTATTTATTTATAATTGTGAATAAGTTATTTTTGGCAATATTTATAATGAAGAGTTGCTACTTGCTATCAAAGTAGCAGAAGAAGTTAGTAGCGTAAATATGTGCATTTTGCCGGACAGAGAGAGTCAGTGTGGTCAGTCGACCTAGAAACGGTGTCGAATTTTCGTGGTTTTCTGATTTAAAAATGGTAACGGTTGCAGGGGAGCAATTCTTTTACGGAAGACGGGATGCCGAAGACGGAGTTCCCCAACGGTTGGAAAGGGCACGAGAAGGGATTGTATACGGTTGGGTTCACCAGAAGAGGGTTGCAGGGGACGTCATCGGACGCCGTTAAAATCGCCGCTGACGTGGCGTCGCAGTGGAGGAGCGCGGAGGATTGCAGCAACTCTTGTCATTCCCATATTATCCTCTTGATAGGTGAGAATTGATGTTAAGAGAGGGCAAAGAAGGGAAGGATTGATTAGTCATTTTTGCCTCACTATTAAGTGAAGTAAATCCCAGCAATGAGATTTTACCCCTTCTTAGTTTTTTCTTAAATTAATTTTTTTTTTAATCTTCATTTTCTCCTTCGGGTGTGGTTCCTGTAAATGTACCAATTTTGGGTTTTCTTTTCCCTTCTTCTTTGGGCTCTTGTACAAAATAATTTTGTGAATTAAATAGCAAGTAATTGCCTTTGATCTTCATTGCTGTGAAATTTTTTATGGACAAACTCAAGGCAGTGATTTGCACACTAATTCCCACAAGATGTTTAGAATTTTACACATAATTACAATTTACAAGAACACTTTACTCTATTAACTAACTTCAAGCAATGCAACTCATATAATCCAGCTCCACTCATGGACTTCCAGAGAGAGCTAGCTCTAATCTGTCCTGAATTTTCTTCACCGTTTCCACTTCTCTGTTTTCTTGTAAAATTGTTAAATATTGACGTTCTTTTAATTGTGTTGACCGATTTATTTCACGTCGTACTTGCGCATGTACGTATTATACGACCACACCCGCACTTAGGGGATTTACCGAGTTCCTACTTGGGCATGATTTGTGACTTTTATTGAGAACTTTTGAGCTTTGACCCTGTGTAGACGAGAGAGAGAGAGAGAGAGAGAGAGAGGGCTTGCTCGTTTAGGTGTGCAAAGTTTTTATATGGGAACCTGCTGGCAAGGCACAGTGAAGATATATAATATAGTAAAACCATTGATTCCGTCTGCAGGTCAAGTTCCCATTCAATTCTCTCTGCAAACTGATTTAACACTCATATGTCATCTACATGCACGCGTAACCACAGGCCTGAGTAAATGACATACAGAAGAAGAAGACTCTTTCATTCTATATTTCCAAAGGCCCAGAGAGCATTTAATTCCTCTACGAAATGGGTCAAGCAAATTATATGCTGTGTTCTTCGATGTTCAGAAGGGGAAAAAATGCTATATATGTTCTCCAAAGTTATTTGGAGTGACTCAATCGAAACGGGTTTTAGGTGTGAATCTAATTTATCACTTAATATTCCCACCTAAACGGATCTCGAGGGATACTGACGGGTTTTGTAGACTGCAATGCTTTTACAGCTTATACATCGTGATTGATTGTGGTCAACTAATTACTAGCTACTCGACAAACTCCCAAATTAGTATTTTCCAATTCCATATTTAAAGTTTGAGGGGGTGTTAGTATAAATAACTAAAATAAGTTTCTCAGATTCCATCCAAACCTATACAATCTTGATGACACGAACAAAATCTTGTTTAATAACCGTGTATTACAACGATGTATGCATTGTACGACACATATGGTTTTCCCCCTCCATTCCAAAATCATTAAAAAAAAGATATTGTTTATTCTATTTGCAGATAATGTGAGTGGCATCTCAAATCAATCATTGTTGATTAAAGGAACCCATCATTTGACAATGATTCAACTCTCTCTTGTTCTAAATTTACACGACAGACGACGACCAGTTGCATGCATTTCTCAAGTTTTTTTTTTTTTTTTTTTTTTTTTTTTTTTATGGGAATGCATTTCTCAAGTTGGGAACTCAGTGTGTGATGTGAACCCGTGGCCCATGCCAATATGCCATGAACCCGCACAAATCCACAGCGGTCAACTGGGTGCATGCTATTTTGCTTGCCAACCATGAACCACGCATCATCATGGTCAGTACCACTGCACCAATTCTCTCTTCAGTCACCGTGACTGCCAATCAACCGGCAGTTTCCAATTCCACAAATTGGTGGTGCTTTTTTTTTTTAATTAGGTAGAGACGTTGCGTCGATTATACTACCGCATGAGTTGAAGATGGGTTGGATTGAGTTACAGATTATGAGTCACGTCAAATATTTTTTTATACTAAAACCTTAGTATATGGGGTTTTCGAATTTGTGAAGTGCTAAAATTCGAAACAAAAAGGTTCAAATTTGCTGACATCATCGATTTAAAACCTTTAAAATTTTCCTAAACAAATAATAGATTTGTTGCAAATTGAGCAAAATTTGGAACCCAAAGTTCAATGAGCAAAACCATATTTCCCTTTGGTCTCCCCCTCGCCCTCTCTTTTGTGTGTGTGTGTGTGGGGGAGATGAGTTGCACTAAATTTGCCTTGTCCTTTACCCAGGAGTAGGAATTGTGATGATTTTATCAGCCGATGACTTCTTCATCATATTCTACTTTTGGTTCTACCCTTCCAAACAGAAGGTACTACTTCTCCTCTTCTTTCCCACCGTTGAGCCGTTAATACAGTTACTGAAACGTGTCGGCACTTGATTGGCTCCTCGTATGTTGGCTTGGCGTGCATCGGAGCGAATGAAGGCATAAGACGGACAGCTTTCTTTCTTTTTGTTAGCGTGCGTGGTTTGTTCTATGAGGCGCCGGTAAACAAGTACTTGTACTATATTAAGTTACCAAACGAGTCCTTGAATTTATGAATTGTGATGTGTAAGCCCTTAGATTCTTCCGAAGCACAAGTAATTGAGAGCAAAATTGTTAGGATTGGTTTGAAAGTATACCCCTCATGCATGTAGCCGATCATGCAGTCTCTCTTTTATGACCAAAAATTTTGATGGCCAATTTGGAGATTCCTCAATTAACCTACTCCATTAAAAAGCATTCTAACGGGTAATATTTCATCCCGACTTGTTTCGTGAATTTGGTGCACATACCGTGAACTGTCCGAGCCCGACACGACGCTTGAGAAAGAGCCATGTGTAGTTGTTCGCTTTCTTATGCGGATCAAATCAAATATCAGAAGGACTTATTTCACTATTCGCGTCATCTCTCATGATCACCAACATATTAAGCTCAAAATTTTGATGTCGTCGCAAGCATCTTTATCTTAGTGTCAAGAATTGGTCCATCTCCATCACTGGTCGTGGTAACCGCTAAGTAGCTGGTAGAGGCCCAAAAAATTGAGTTTTACATCGTATCGTCAGTACTCGATGTTGTATACAATAACCAACCCAAAGATCATTAGAATGTGCATGCGCCAAGCATACAACTAATCCGATCTCTAGATAAATTATTAGCATTAAGATAGTTCGCGATCCATGATTCGAACAACCGTATGTACCTCCCTGTTAGTCAAATGGTTCTAAACCTCACTACAAACTATTTCATCCCAAGAGGAAGAATTGTTCGAGAGATCGAGCGCCAAACAAGAATGCTATTGGTTATATACTTACCAAATACCATGCATTATTCCCTTTTTGTGGTGGGCAGAATCGGATCATGTGAATCCGAATGGGGTTTTCCTTCATAAATTCATGTTTCTCTCTTGTCCTATCTATAGCATAACAACAACAGAAGAAGCCAAGCTCTGGATTGAAAAGAAAAACAGAAAACAAAGAGAATGATGAATAAGAACAAGGAAAGAATTCGATGAATGATGATGAGGTAATGAGGTGGTAGTGGTGGGTGAAAAAAGGGATGGTTATAATTGAGACAATGATGGGGCTCTGATGAGTATCTGACTTGCTATATACTACTGCTCATCCCTCCCTTTCTTCTTCCCCCAAGAGGTCCCAACCCCATGCACATATAAACTCAACGTACGAAACGACTCAGAAGTTTGGATTTGACAGCTCGATCTCAACGTACCTCTCTCTCTCTCTCTCTCGATACTGGCCAATGAATAGTGATCCCCCACACCAAGAACAACGCCAAATAATCTGCTATACTTGTGTCCATTCCATCATTTACTTGATGATGTAATATTGGTAACCTAAACTGGCCCAACTTTGAGGCTTAATCTGGAAATCAGAAGGAATGGATCATTAGTCTTGTGTATTTGTACATGATCGACATTGATGTACGTGTGTAGTGCCGCCAAATGTGCGAAAAGTGTGTATGGTATGGTATGATATGGAATCAAGGGGATGGGAGGAAGTCCAAGTAGGGAAGAAATGTTCTTAAAATGAACACAAAGAGAGAGAGAGAGAGAGAGAAGGGAATTGAATTGAATGCAATTTTGCATGGTGGTGGGGAAATCCAAAAGACACGCATCCATCTGCCCAAGTTGCACGCTTTTTTCACAAACCCCACCATGACGCCAATCTGACGTTTCTCTCCTCCTTGCTATTTGCTGCTCCCGCCTGGCGCCTGCCATTCTCATCAACTTATATCACCTCTCCCTCTCCCTCTCTCTCTCTCTCTCTCTCTCTCTCTCTAGATATACATATGCCCAATAAGACAAGAGCAGAGAGCAACATAATCTTGACTAACGAGGATTCTCTGCTGATCGCTATAATCTTATCTTATATATGCATGTATAGGCTTTGCTAGCGTTAAATATTAAGTTAACCACTTCTGTCCATCTGATCAGAGAGAGAGAGACAGAGAGAGAGAGAGGGAGATGAGAGGCCAGCGTGACAAATAATAAGACGACCGAATCAGTGGAGTCAGGCCTCCCCGATTCTACACGATCTATGCACGCCATCGCCCAACACCTAAGTCCTAACCTGCTACCACCGATCGATCAATCCAGCAGCACAACTACACAACAAAATGTGGTATACGATCAATTATTGAATCTCTCACAACAACTCGAATTATTGAGATCATGATTTCGAGTTTTTTCGGAGTATTCCAATACGTATCATGAAAGCAATACAGATAATGATTCGTCCATTAAAATCTATGTAACATGAACCTCACTGACGGCATCCACTCATCAGAGATGATTTGATTGTTAGAATGAGAATTTGAACTAACAATGCAGTGCAGTCGATTGATAATTAATTATTAAATTAGAAAATGACACTTAAATTCTCTCTTTAATTTGCGCTCTCGATCTTTCTTGTGTTGCGCACTTGATAGATTCATTTTTTCGGGGTGATGATGTCACGCACCCTCCGTCTAGGATCTCTTCCCGGCCCCTACCATTTTTGGCTCCTCGATTAATGCACTCATTTATCTTTACACGTACCTAACTTTTCATTACTAATTACGCGATTAATACCCGCATATCCGTTGGTTGATCCGTAAAATAAGTCTCAGCGGCCAACGGTTTATATCGTTTTTCTATGGAGGATATTATAGCTAGGGATGGACATTGAATCGATATAAACCGTTTATATCGTTTTTCTATCGTTTTTCTATGGGTTGATCCGTAAAATAAGTCTCAGCGGCCAACGGTTTATATCAT